GGAGGGAGGGAGGGAGGGAGGGAGGGAGGGCAGTCTAAAAATTGACTGACAGCCTAGACAGACCCACTGTCATGTAATTGCTTGGCCTTAAGGAATTGGCACTAACCTACTCTGTGTTCTTATGTCAAGACAGACTCTGTGCCTTGGCTTCTCTATCTGCCTCCCAGGAAGAAAGTAGTTCTAATATTGCAGAGTTCTTCTGATTACCTGATACTCAGGGCAATCCTGCTTCATGCTATATTATGTGTTAGCTATGGTGATCAACGATTCCTTCTTCAAAATGATATTTTAATTTCATGAGAATTCATTACATGTACAATTTAGACTGAACTTTTTATAAACACAATTATTCAAGTACTCCTCACAGGACACACACTACCATCTCAGCCCATTTTTTACATATCCAAGGGCATATAAGCTTAAATAGGGAAATCAGTAAGTGACAATAACTTTACACTTTGTATCTCTGAATTTTCTGGGTTTATTTTATTTTTGAAATAGCTTTATTAGAATGAACTCACAAATGAAAACATTACATAGTTAAATCAAGGAAACCACTCGAGTACATACTTGTCCAGTCTGACACTCTATGGATCTCGGAACTTCTCCCTGTTTTAGAACATCCATTCTGAGAACTTCACTTCAGGTTTTACACTCTTCATCCATTACATTTTTACACTTATCTACCATAAAAAAGAAAGAAAGAAAGAAAAGACTATGATAGAATTTAAACTAGAAAGCCAGTTAGCTTTCTAATCTCTTTCATGATTCATGTGTCCCTTATCTGCAATCCATCTCCTGCCCCTTACCACTGAATATTACCTTCCTTTGTCACCTTTCTAAACTTTATACTATGCCAATACTTACAGCTGTTTATAGATACTCATATACACATCTTTTAACCAAGGCCTCATTGTCTTCATTGCTATCAATTCATAGTAAGTCTTGGCACAGGGTAGTATGAATTCTGCAATCTTGTACTTTTGTTACAAGATTATTCAGCAATTCAAGTTCTTCATCTTTCCACATATATTTTAAAATTAGCTTAACAATAGTTATTCTTCACCTCCCGCCCCCAAAACCAACCAAATAGACAAACAGAAGACAATCTAGCTAGTCTGAAATTTTCACTGGGATTGCAATGAATCTATAGGTACATTTTAAGCTTTGGAACGCTTCATTATAACAGTATCTAATATAATGTCAACTGTTCAAATGAAATGTTACATAGTTTCTAATAAAGTTACAACACACTTGAAAAAAAAACACAATGTACTTATATTATTAGGAAGTGTTTTAAAGTACCCAGTACACAGTTGTATTATTGAGTTTTCCACTTTGTGAGCAACTATATCTCTCCATTTATTAAAGAAATTTATGATTTATTTGATCTATATTTGATAGTACTCAGCATATATTTATTTAGATTTATATTTTAATATATTATTTGTAGGTTTTCATTATCCAACTTTGGGAATTTCTTTGTATTCCATTCCTTGTTTGTTGAGCATGTTTATAATTAGTAATTGCCTATTTTTGATTTTTCCAATAATAGTTTATGGTGTTTACTTTTGCCTTATGCTTTGTTTGTACTACCTAATATTTTTAAAGAACAAATGTTTATTTTAAAGTGATCTAGGAGCCAGCCTAGATGTCCACTAACTGACAAGTAATGAAAACGTGTTATGCATATAAAATGGAATATTACTCAGCTCTGAAGAAAAAAATGAAATCATTAGATTTGTTGGAGAATGGATGAACTTAGAACAGATAATATTAAATGAGGCCACTTCAAAAACCCAGAAAGAAACTTTTGCATTCTACCTCATCTGTGGTACTAGCCAGTAGTACAGGGTACCTGTACTACCCTGTGCCAAAGCTTACTATGAGTTGCTAGCAATGCAGACAATGAGGCCTTGGTAAAAAAATGCACACAGCGGCACATACAGAAGTTCAGAAACTGGCTCATGTGGGTGTTTCACATACTCTCCAAAAAGGCATAGGCAATTCCATGATGCTGAAACAACTGAGCATCCTTCTCCAAAA